TACACGTTAGTATTCAAGGACAGGGTTTCCAACTAGGCTAAAACGTTGGCTAATTCTTATATTGGTGATAGTTTAACTGATTCATCTTTAAAAATTTTTTTTTTTTATTTATAAATGATTTTCCGTGAAAAAAGGAGTTTGCCATTTCAGCTTTAATATTCTAATCAAAACAAGAAATGCCGTTACTATAAACAAAGATTAGTTGAATAGAATGTTCAAACGTTTGTCCAAATGCGACTTTATAAAACAAGTATTGGAATGTACCTTAATTTTTAAAAAAACCACTTACACAATGAAAATATCAGGATGGAAATTTTGGCTACAAACTGAAAGGAGGTATCACGTGTCGTTGGTGAAAGAACACGAACCTCATTTAAAATGTTTACACGCGCAAAAAGAACAACACAATTTTAATACTTAGATTATCTAGATCACGTTGTCAGGATATCTGTATTAGCATTGTATATGGTTAAATATATATTATTAACATAAGAAACAGGAGAGTATCGAAGGGCGTACTAAAAAAAACCGACTTTCATATCATACAAGGCAATAGTAAGTGATAATTAACGCACATATGTTGATTATTTCTTGAATAGATTAAATTATGCTACAACACTTCGCTCATTACACATGATAACGTATTGTACAAGCGCTAGGAACGTGATTTGTAAGGATTACTCCCCCTACCCTGCGGCGCTCCATGACTACAGCTCTTAAGAAGAGTTTTGAGAGAACTGGGATGATCGTTGATTTATTTATGTGTCAAATATAACTGATATGTGCCGCACAGTATTGCAAAAAATAACCCCAGTCAAACTTGCGGTAAAGGATGCAAAGTGACAACAACTTAACCAATTTAGACTTTGTTCGTCCATCTGGAGAGATCATACTTATTATTCACGCTTTGAGCAACATTATTTTGCACCAATATGTAGGCCTTCAGAAAGCATGTCGTAGTCATTAAGCGAGGCTCAATAACATCATCAATGAGAAGGATTAGCTGTTAGTTGAGATTAATAAAATACCGTTTGTTTAAATATTTCATGATATGTTTCAACAACGCAACGCGATTTGGTCAAAGGTCAATATGTTTGACATAAGCCGAGTTAAACACAACGGAAGATATGTGTCCAGACAATAAGATTCTAAATCGTGCGTTTCATGTCCTAATCCAATGACAACATTATTGTCATTATTCGACGATAAGAGATTCTGGAATGTATTTTGTATTATTTAGCATCATTCATCTGGCATTCGACTCAGCGTAAGTGACGTAAGGTTGTACAATGTACGATATAAGAACGATATTGGTTGAAAGTACTTAAAATCCATGCAAATATATATTTTTAATGTAATCAATTTTAGTGATTTGCACAAAATTATCTGACTACAGTTGACACAAAACTTGTTTTATTACGGGTTTAAAAATGACAAATGGACAATGATTCGAGATGTACACCATTGATTTATACCCCCCCCCCCCCCCCCCCCCCCCCGTATTTGATATCATGAAATCATTGATTCCGCCCTTACTTCCACCATAAAATTTTAACACAGGACTTGTCGCATTACACGTCACGCCTATAAAATAAGGAGGGTTGAACAAATAGCAAATTGCTGGGCATCTACAAAATGAAATCATGTTATTAAAGAGCCTCAATTTACCAACTGTATTGATACTTCAGGCTACCATTTATAACAAAACAAGTTAAAGCACTGGAGGTAAATAGAAATGTTATAGTTTCTTCACTGATGACACACAATAGCCTCATGATACAATTGCACTGAAACAACACAACATTCTCAGACCTGATTTTGTGGTGTCTCTTGAGACATGACACCCTGTCGTGTAGCCAATATCTCTTCTTTTAAAAACCTCTTCCTGAACAGTTAGATGATATATGGGTCCCTTATCGAGACAACGTAATGTTACCGTTGTGTGTTTGGCATGTGCTCGATCGTGATTTGAAGATATAAGGGCACAGGACACGTTACTATTATTTAACTTTCATGTGTAATCTCCGTTGGGCTTGGCCATCAGTGATAAGTCACATCCTCTAAGGACCTATCAGAGATGTTTGTACTTTAAAAATGTAAATATTCATGGATGAAAGTTGTGTAAAACTAATTTGATAATCCTTTAGCGACGCACTTATTTTGCATTATTGCCAAATATTATTTTTCTAAACCCTAACTAAACTTAATATAATATAAGTATTTTATAACATAATCAACACTAGAGCATGGGCTTAAATTTCACTACACGACAAAGAAACAAAAGACGTGACAATTTAAAATAGTGATAATTTTATTAGCATAAATTATTAATATCGGCCTTTCTGACTAAAAAAGCTTTATGTTAAGAAGTTGAAAAAATAATTTTTATAACTTAAATAATGAAGTCAGGAGCATTTGATGGAGTTTGAAACTCGATGTGATGTCAGACGAGGATTTTTGTACTTCCGGTGTCGAAGACTACCTGAGTAGGACCTCTAAGTTGTTCGTAAATATGTTGCAAAAGGGTGTCTATTTCCGAGAAGCTATGCAATCATGTACGACGAAAAAATGTGATTTAATATTTTTCCAACAAATAACAAGAGAATACCGACGTGTCAACAATACATTCACTTAAACTTACAATTGATAAAACTAGGGCAAAATACGAAAATGGAAAGATTTACATTGGGACCCTTGAAAAAGTACAGTGATGTCACATCCCACCATAGTTGTGACAACAAAACCACAAGGCACTCTAATGAGTATTATAAAAAAAAACGACCTTCATATCACATAAAGCAATATATTTCCTAATGAGATAATGATGACGAATGTCTTGTTATTCAAAGACAGCACATCTTCAATATATTTGAATGTAAAATTGTAGGACTTGCTTAGGTTTTTGTTACCAGTACTGATAAGCTCATCGATAAATTCACCTTCATATAAGAAATGCCTACAGTCTTCTGGAAATTCTTGCCAACGAACCCAACAAAGATATCGTCGTCCAGCAACTCTACCATTCTCGTCCCCAGTACCTTTTATTTTGATCTTTTGTCTAACTATATATATATGCTCTAAACTAATGTATAACCATACAAATGTGTATCTATATCACTATCGCCTTTCTTTGAAAGGAAAGCTCTCATAACAAGAGAACAGAGGCGTTCCGTCTAATGTTATGAGGTATGCTAGTGTAAAAGGTCGAGAAGTCAAAGCTTTACAAAGGGAAAAGATCTTTTAAAATATGTTCAAGATTGATCAAAATACACATACCTTTTATTCCACTTCTTAAGTAAATTGGATTTAATGGTATTAAGACTTGTAGCGAGTTGTTTGGTTCATACTGGCTAAGAGGTTAGACAACCCAGCGATAACACGTTGTTTTTAAAGATTCTTGTGAAGTTCCACAGTTAATTGCATACGAGGTGGGTCTGCAGTGGGTATTTGGAAAGATATAATACATGAGCATGATTTGCTGGTATTTCGTCTTTCGAATAATTGTAAAATGTAAAAATACGGTTTCCGTGATTATCTACCGATTCTAGTTCTTTCTGCAATCAGTTAAGGTATTAGTGTTTGCACAATGATATAGAATGTGAAGTAAATGCACACGTGAACAAAAGTACCAATGCAAATACAAAAATCGAAGTCATACGTGCACTCCCAAGAGTTAAGTGTAAGACAGGCTCGTTTAACATCACCCAAAAGATGGCTTTTTAGCACTTAGTTCTTCTACAGATCATAGGAGCAACCAAATTTACACTCAAACCTCAAGCTAAGGACGTTATTCATGTCAAGATGAAATCTTTCATTTAAATATGGTAATTATATACAAGTTTAAAAAAAAGCCTTTGAAGTGTTGAAATGAGATAAAAATCAATGGACTACTTTTTAAACGATAATTATAGTCTATGGTGTTAATGGCAGTATTTGAAAAGAAAATGTTATTTTAAAATGCCTATATTTAAATAGTTTTGCTGGTATTTATTTTACACTATGTACCAGAAAGTGTATTGCTTTAGTAATATCTGAGTCAAATAAACAACATAACTACTTCGAATTCAATTTTAAAATATACCGCCTTCCCCTACGACATGTTGACTTATGGGTAGGATTGATTATTATGATACTGCAGGAGAAAGAGGGCTAGTGGTGGTGACATTTAAAAATCTCGTTTTGTAATAAAATGTCTACAATATATATTTATCAATGTCAAGATACGTAGTATATTAATGCAACTTGTCTGATTAGCAATAACAAGAATACGTTTCCGTTACATTGAAAGACATATATCTGAATCCTCGTTTGTATGGTTTTGCTCGGGGTTTGATTTTAGCCTAAGGAATGGTGATGTAAATAACTCATAAGAGCACCAGTAAGTGTCTAATCGACCTACTTTATTGGAATACAAAACCAGGTCGAACAGTAGTTAACCGTTACTAAATAGTGTGCTCCCTTTAACTTACAGTGTTCGCCTATTTAAGCCATGCTAATGGTAAGGAGAAATGTAAGAAACGTTGCTCGTCAAATTGCAGTGAACATAATTAAGGCAGGAGATAATAACGCCTTGATTCATATTACAAAAGATAATGTTCACCATGATGCAGCAAACGAAAAGGATTACTCGTTATCGAAAATATTGCCCAAGCAAGCTTTGCTCATGCATAACTTGTATTGACTTCGGTGTATTTGCGTGTATGGGACTTTTGTTTGTTCGAAGCTGGTCAATCGAACAGAGCGTTTGTTTTTTAAGATCTTATATGTGTGGTTAATAAACTTCTCCCGTTTAATCATTTTTTTTTGCATGTAGATTATTTTTCCTTGTTTAATTATGTTCTCCATATTTTGAATATATCATTCTTCTATAACTATATCTTATTTTTTAATGATCATTCGTGAACAAAGACATATTATTTGTAATTTTCCCGCTCTGGACTTCGATCAAAATATGTCTGCGAGTCTCGGTTTAGATCGTTCGTGTTTCACCCACTGTTTGCTTGCAATGTGTCCGTGACTTTAAATAGTTAAAGCGACGCCGATGCTCCTAGCCCCGCATTTTGTCGACTTAATGGATGTGGTTTGACAAGTTACTTCGTCAATGTCAACCTTTCTACTGTAGTATGTAAAACGGGATTTTTACCTGCACCCTCAAAAACAACTGACCGTGTTGTCTATGTTACCTGTGAACCACACCTATACCGATAACATCGAACTATCGCCTGGGCTACCTGTTTCCTGTGATTGACAAATCTACCGTGTCTCAGGGGCGTACATCACTGTGAAGATATACAGGTAAGTTTACACAACTAATGCAAACACTGTCCTTGAGCATTTTAAGCTCATATGTCTATAAACTGTCCTTCCTATACTGGAAGCTATGTATATACTGTGTATGTACACATACATATTAACACAGGTATATGAGAGATCATCTTATAATGGATGCTAGTCTGCTCGGAGAAATGTCTCAAACTGGTTTGCTTACTCACAGTTTTGAGTTCATTCGATTATGTTATGTTAAGACATTATGCTTTTGTCTGAAACAAACGTATTTTCTTCAGTAAAAAATGTTTTAGGAAAGGTTAACAGTATTGAATGACTTGTAGAGATTCGTGTATTTTTCATATCATGCCTCAACATTGATAAAACTTTAGACTGCATTCCTATTCAGCCTACCTAAAAGAGTCATCACGTGTATCGCTGTAAACATATACACCTACAAAATGTATAGGAATTAATAGAGCGAAGCGTACGTTAACACTCACACAAGTGTAAACTCCTTAGGTTCGGGGGAGAAATGGCCTGCTGTATTCCACTTAAATTTATAGCTAGAACAGACTTATTTGCGCCATTGCAGAATCAACGGTTTTCTGTGTCTTCCGCTAAGGGAGAATTATATACATTTTGTAAGTCTAATTTGACCTGTTAGCCACATTGCAATAATAAAGACCTTTCTTGGTTTCTTTTTTGTACTTACTGTTTTGATTTGTCATCCAAAGGCAATCATCCTCATCTGACGTAAGCTGTGGGAACGTAAAACTAGTAACACAATGTAGTTTAGTAGGGCACACCATTTGTCTAGGGTCGCCTTCACCAACAATAAACTTAGTTTGTGTTATCAAATAGATATGAAAATTAGTTGTTTTTATATCACGGCTGAGAAATGAATCCTCGCACCAACATACATATTGTCACACCAGTGGTGTGTATCGTTCCGATCATCAAATGCCTCTTGCACATCAAAAGCTGCTGCTGGTATTTTTTAAATGTGTGACATTGTCTAATGTTTCTCAATATAAAACAGTTTTGTAATACTCTGCTGTACTTTTGTTACATTTTCTTTAGATTGCTGTGAATGTTTATTTGTTTATTTTGTTGTTTAGTTTACCGAATCGAATATTAAACGCCCTCAAGTCTGCTTAACAGCGCTACACGTGATCTTAAATACTTTTTGATGATCTTGCTGCACTTAACCTTCTGTTTGGTCCTTTTATCATTCAATCCATATACAACTTCTATTCGGAAAAAAGGTAACACATATAATGGTTAGCTAGAAAAGTTTGTCTTTCGAAATACTGTTTGCCCGTAGCCTTAATGGCCAAATTTATAAAACAAATCGAGTGGTGACATTTTTCATACTATATTCACTCTACTAATTATGTTATTTGAAATAAACCAATATAACTGTACATTTTGAAATTTATGAAATAAGGGGTTTTCATCACCCCCTTCTGTTTCAATAATGGTTTAGACTTTTTATCCTGAAAAGCGCGGAGTGTTGTTTCGACATCGTGGCAAAGAAAAACAGCCTTTTTATTATCATATTTTATTTCAAACTGCTTATTCGATTTAAAATGATGGGCCATATATTTATACCCAAATCTGAAAGTGAATCTAATTCAGCATGCACTCTATAGCTAGTTGCCCTTTGTTTGGCATACTCTTCCTAAATATCTTAAAATATACACGAAGCTTATCATTATCTACAATATTTTAGACTGCAAATTACAATCTGGTGAACGCGACCATAGTTTAACGGAGATTTAGAAGTAGAACCCTCTTTGAGTCTTTATTGAGGAATGCATATTGGATTTATGTTCCTACAGAAGCTAGACGTTCATTACATCTCTATTGCACCGCAGTACCACTAAGTCTTTTGTAGTGTTCTTCTCGTTGACACTGTGATATATGTGATCCTTGTGTATTGTCACTGTTGTTTATTTTGTGTCTACATGTTGACACTGTGGTATATGTGATCCTTGTGTATTGTCACTGTGGTATATTTGTGTCTGCATTTTGACACTGTGATATATGTGATCCTTGTGTATTGTCACTGTTGTATATTTAAGTCTGCATGTTGACACTGTGGTATATGCCATCCTTGTATTTTGTCACTGTTGTATATTTTGTGTCTGCATGTTGTCACTGTGATATATGTCATCCTTGTGTATTGTCACTGTTGTATATTTGTGTCTACATGTTGACACTGTAATATATGCCATTATTGTATTTTGTCACTGTGGTATATTTGTGTCTGCATGTTGACACTGTGATATATGCCATTATTGTGTATTGTCACTGTGGTCTATTTTGTGTCTGCATGTTGACACTCTGATATATGCCATCCTTGTGTATTGTCACTGTTGTATATTTGTGTTTGCATGTTGACACTGTGATATATGCCATTATTGTGTATTGCCACTGTGGTCTATTTTGTGTCTGCATGTTGACACTGTGATATATGTCATCCTTGTGTATTGTCACTGTTGTATATTTGTGTTTGCATGTTAATACTGTGATATATGTCAGTATTGTGTATTGTCACTGTGGTAAATTTTTTGTTTACATGTTGACACTGTGGTATATGTCATCCTTGTGAATTCTCCATGGGATACCTTTTGTCACTGCGTGGTCTTTTTCGTGTTTTGTATGTGGTGTGCCATATATTTTTGTGTCTTGTAATTGATTGATATTATTTTACTGAATAATACTGTCTCTGTTGATTTAACTTTAACTTTAACCTTATTTGTTGTTATGTTATCTTAGACAACACTATCCATTAACTGTTCATGAATCTTTTTTAACATCATTAAAAAGATCCCACTCGAAAGCTTTTCAATGGACTGCGTCTGCTCGTGTCGTTGATTGTTTTTACCTTCATCTAAATTAGTTTAATCCTTTTATGAATCACAAACCTGTGATCCCGTAGAGAGATGACTAAGGCGTTCTACATATCGCCTACTAAGGTACTCCACGCATCCTATTCAACATAGCTGTGTCAGTGACACTGTCGTACCACCAGCTAAGTGTCAAGAAATGTTATCAACACTGAGGAGAAATAATTAAATTTTGAAAAATGTGAGGGAATTCACGAGCGTTGTATTGTCAGAACACTCAAGCTTCATTTTAAACATCAATAGTTACGACAATATGTATCAATGAATAAACTATTTTGTGATATTAAGCTACCAAAGAGGTTAGGCGATACACCTGTAGCTGTACTTCCCTATGTCTTCTTTGTAATTTAGTCAGGTAATGTAATGTTTACTATCCTAGCATAGTCAGTGAACTGATGAAACGGCTCTGTGTACCTGGAGACCAACTCCATGCTATCTGCCTTGTTCAGAAATATTTATTACTAATTTCAAAATAAAATAAAAGAATAGTTAACATCTTTAAAATGTATTATTTGTTGTAGCTTCATACATTTGTATGTACATAAATATATCATGTTTAAAATTGTTTTATTTAATACATTAGATAACCGTCAATTACATATACGTAAATTATGTATATAAATAGCAATCAAAACGCATCAAAAGTTTTATATAAGATATTCATGCATTTTATGAATAGAACGGCGTTCCAAAGCTATACTAAAAAGGGCTAACATACGTTAATTTTTATATATACCCGTATCTTAATAGTTAACATAAGCTATACTTGCAATTTACACACACATAATTATACAGGCTGTTACTGTATCCTGCATTTTACGTATTGAAACCCTTATATCAGCTATACCTCTAATGCCATACAAAAACTGCATAAGGTGAGCTACCTGTACTGTAGCTATACCTGTATTTCATGTATAAAACGGCTGACAAGATCAATATATGTTGCCTGCATTTCATGTATCAATAGGGTTACATAAGTTGTACCTGTAATCCAATCCTTTTGACAATTTACCCGCAACTTGTGACAACATTTACCCTAACTTATTGGTAACAGGATCCGCAAAAGGTGTCCCCGTTACAATACGCCACTGTCACGACAGTATTTAAACGACAAAGTGAACTGGAATTTTGAAAAAAATCATTTAGTGATAAAATACTAACTATAATCATGATTGTTTTTCAATGTTTAACAAGTCAAAGTCTACGCCCGCCAGCATACACTTGTTTATGTGTTGTTATCTTTCGTATTATTTTATTGGGTATTTTTATGACGATATGACGTCTGCGATATAAACACTTAGTCAAGGTCGTGTATTTCAGATATAGTTTTTTTAAGCAAGCTGCACACCTAACCTCATAAACAAGTTAGAATCAGAGCGACGAAGACCAAACAGAAAGGTAATGGACGCTACATGTATTAATAGAGTTTGCAACATAAGCGAAAACCAAAAGAGTTTCTTGTCTTCTTGTACGGAAAACAATGACCATATACAATGTATCATTTGGAGTACAACCACTATAGACTATTGATTCAGAATGAGTGATTGCATCCGAAACCAACATCCTAAAGTCAATTTCGTTGGAGACCTTAACGCGTATTGTTCCTTGCCAAACATATCTGTGACAATAGATAGAGGAAACAGAAACAGCATTCCGAAATGTAAGCTATTTTTACGTATGTTGTAGTGTCATGTGAAATTTATGAAACTTGATTATAATTTTTTGGAGTCACCTTAATGCATTTTCGTTGCACTTATCTTATAATCTAAGCATATGTTTTTAAACATTTAAATGATATTGAACCTTGTATTAACTATGATACATTTTTTTTAGTTAAATATGAACTGATGTAAGCCTGATAGATAGCAAACATATAAAAAAAAAAAAACATCTTCGACAGATTAGCAATGACCTCATTTAAAATTTATTACGAAATATTTGTTAGTTAATGGGTACTGATCACGAACATTGCCAAATCCGAAACTGGGAACTTTTCACAGAGTCTTGACGAACAGTTTTTAGCCTTTTATTCAAAAGGTTAGCATCCACAATGTCATTACGTTTTGCAAATAATTGAAGCCATAGTAACGCACCGTTCTATATTGCAGTATGCCTATTGAACTAAAATCCTACCAAGTGGGTCAGGGAGATCAGACAAACCAGGGTTATACTCCAGATGACCAGGACGAGGTGAGTACGCTTCATCTAGGGATATGACCAAGGGGGTATTAAAATGAGGTGACTACATGTAAACAAGAGTTGTATCTTCCTAGACGACCAAAACGAGGTACATTATTGTAAGTAACTCGGTGTTATAACAAAGATGTCACATGTTACAGCATGTCCTGTTAGATGTTAAAAGACTATGTGAGAACGCAATAACCAGAAGTTCAGACGCTGTGAGTATGGATCGACGTGGTTTACAACCAAAACATTCCTGGACAATGTAAGTAAGCATGAAGTTGATGTATACTCCTAAAAAGTAGGACGATTTAAGCACTCGCTAAACGGAGTTTTTCTCCTCTCATGACGCGTACACAGTAACCGGTGTTGTACTCCTGACAGTCAGGAATGCACACCAGTATTGTTAATACCTTTGTACTCAACAGTCAGCACGAGAACGCGTTAGCCGGTTTTTTCCTCCTTGCAATAAGTATTAGGTGGGTATGACATTTTCAACTTTGCAAAGTGTTTGTTATCTCCAAGTCGCCATAATTTCAGGTCGTTTTAGCACATGCATTGCTTTGGTTAAAAATTAATACTTTAGATAAGGGTACATTAAAGATCATATTTGTATGGGTTATAATTAAAACAACTTTTAAAAAAGCAATATTGCATCGGTTTCTGACCTCTAGATAAATGAGAACGGCAGAACGGTTCATAGAGTGAACTCGGGATATCACAAAAAATACAAAATACAAAATTAGAGAGATAACATTTTTTTTATATTTGTTCTAGATAAACCAAGCAGGAAACTACTTGTGACGACAAATATATTTCTGCAAATATTTAAATGTTTAAAAAGAAAAAAATCCATAATAATCAATTAAGATAAATTTTATTTTGTCTATTTCTTAAGTATAGTAACAATTTGGAGCAATAATTTCTTTTAAAACCAAAAACACAATTTCTGTTTCAGATTCAAAGTCCAAATAACGTCACGATCCAAATAAAAAATGGACGACCTGGAGACATAGATACCGTTACGGACTTCGACGAAGAACCACCGACAGGTCGCTGTGCCTTGTGTGTGTTTAACATACGACAGAATGTAGTAAGCGGCCTGATGTCACAAAGGATCCAGATCCAACGATGTGTGATCATTATAATCCTTTGTCTTTATTTCGCCTACTTTGGGTACTGTATGTACTTCCGTTTCGGTGACGAGGGTTCTATCCGGCTGCTGGTATGTACGGTGTTTGGGGTTCTGCTAGCATTTTCTTTGCTAGTTGCAGGGAGGACAAGGAATCAAAGACGCCGACTATGGGAGAGAAGTTTAAAACCGTGTGTTACCTCTAGGGCAGGCAGGCGTTGTCACGCGATTTTCTCATTGTAAGTCAAAAACATACTAATGAACGGATTCTGCTGGTTTATCAGGCTTGAGAGAGAGAGAGAGAGAGAGAGAGAGAGAGAGAGAGAGAGAGAGAGAGAGAGAGAGAGAGAGAGAGAGAGCTGTAATATTATTTTCACAAATAATTGTCCAACGATTTGTTTATTAACATTTATCAAGTCATCAATCTACCAGTTTCTATTTGTAGACGCATATTCCAAGGTGTTTAGTATGTGAAGTATGTGTTCTGTCTTATGGCATAAGTTAAAATTTATCTTAACTCATTTTATAAAAGTCTAATTGAAATGTGTTAATGAAAACTTCTCTTACTCGGTTTTGAATTAATTGTACTTGTAAACTTTGCTTGTTTATGATATTCAGATCATCGTTTCTTCTAGGAAAAAAACTCTGGTATTCCCAAATCTAATCTAAGACATTTTCAACAACACACTGTTATTATTCCTTAAATATTTTCTCCATTACAGTCACATGAAGATTGAATATTAGATTATCACTTTTTACTAAATTGTACCAAAACAAATTGCTCCAATTGTAATTTCAAAACGTAGAGGAAATCTCCTTAACCCCATATAAACCATTCACATAACGTACTTCTTTTGAAAAGTAAAAGTTTGTAAAAATGTAATTACACATGCAATAATTGTAGAAAAAGTTCAACCAGTCACATTTTTATAATATGTGACGTTTCGAGGATTGATACGGTACATACACTGTCACCTACATCAGACAAATGACCAGTGAAACGTATGTGCACAAAGATTAAAAACATCTTTTGTTTTTCTATTTTTCAATTTTGTGCACATGCATTTCTCTGGTCATTTGCCTGATGAACGTGACGGGTTATGTACCGTACTAGTCATCGAAACATCACGCATAAACAACGCATTAAGTTGCAATATATTGTCTTTCAAATCGGATGAAAACATATTGAGAAATGTATTAACAAGTCTGTCTAATGAAACGAGGTGCAAATTAATTTGAGAGAAGCCTCATATTTCTTCACATGTGATTGATAAGTCGTGTATATAAAAGAGATATTTGTGTGACCCGGTTACTAAATTGGTAGTTGAGTCGCTGCACCTGCCTGCACGTCTGGGTTTTGTTCAGTAAATGCGGAAAATCTGTGAATTTGTAAATGCAATGTTTAAACTGGAGCAATGTCGAAGTCCCGTTTGTTAGCACATTGAATCAATAGTGATGAGCGAGATATGAATGACGTTTCTAACATTCCTGTAGTCCTTGACACGTTTATCACTTATTCCTTTTAAGATTGCTGAAGATTGCCGTCTTTTGCGTTATCGCTGCTTATATTATTTTTGACGTGGCTATCGACCATCCGCAAAACCTCATCGCTGTTGCTGGACAGGCCATCTACATAATCATCTTCTTCGTTTTCTCTATAAGTCCAGCCAAGGTAGGAATTCGTACCCCTTTACTTTGTCTTAAACCATAATTAGCACTACGAAGTAAGGGATCGCTTATTTATATTTTAGCTGGTTGATGCAGAAAGCCAAACAAATTCTGCCCCAAATGCCATATAGTCCATTTGGTTTATATTCCGTCTTTGCGTATTGCAGAGTTATCTTCTCTTGTGAACAGGTATTGATTGTTACATGTACGTTATTTGTTTGTAAGAGTAACGTCATCAATTTTTGAGAAAACGGCGTAATTTTCTCACACAAATCAATGACGTAACAATCAATAACTGCTTACAAGAGAAGATAACTCTGCAATACGCACAGACGGAATAGGTAAACATGGAATTGTGCCTATATAACGAATCATATCGTTACAAACTTACTAACTTTACCGACAACAGATCATTCATTTTAAGCTTTAAATCCAGCAACAGTGGTCGGCAAACCTCGGGGACTGATAGTCTAATGCCACAATGAACCATCTTGTCTGATTTAACATTTGGCAATGTCACTCATGTTTAATTTGATTCCAGATATATATCCTGGACCTATTTCTACAAACGTTCTATTCAATACAAGCGAAGAAAAATAATAAAGTAACTATGTCCGATTACAACATAAGTTAACGACTTAAGTTAAACAAGTGGCTTTCCATAATAAACTTGTATAAAACTTGCGTTTTTGTGAAAGGCGTTAAACCAATGATTTGTATTACTGAGAAAACTGGATAGGACGACGGACGATGGTCGTAAGGTTACCTTCTTAGCGTCTATAAACGCCACAGAGGCTTAAGATCCTTCAAGCTTGATCTATTGATACGAAAGTTTGTAATCATTAGAAGTATCCTCACCAATTTCTTAATCCAGTCAAACTTGTATTTGACCTTGAACAGGTGAGGTGGCACACCATATTTTGGGGATTTGCTCTCCAGTACATCCTTGCACTCATCATTCTGCGCCAGGAATGGGGCTTCCAGATTTTCAAGTACTTAGGAGACCGCGTGGGCGAGTTTCTCCAACACTCTGATGCAGGCGCAATCTTCATGTTCTCAGACCCATTAATCAGCGCCCACATATTCGCTTTTACGGTAATTTTAAACTTTAGTTTGAATAGAGGTTTTTCAATTCATCACTTTAATTTATCATGTTAACATGTACATACCTGTCAAGTTTAGGTTTTAACCACATGATAACCAATTGTAAACAACTGTTGTGATATGTTTCTATATAAGTGCTATGTTTTACTAACGGCGCATCTGACCGCGTCGAAATTTGTTTGAGGTGATTATGGTTTGCTTAATGATATATGAGTTGTACAAATATATGCATATATACTGTTCTTAACGAGAACAATAATCTTACATCAAATGCTTTTAATATTTGAGTAATGTTAGATCGTTATCAAATTTAGATGTTTCTAACTCTGTTTAGCTTATAATGATTCTTTTTCCTGCATTAATCTCAGTAAACAATGAAGCTAGCAATCTCCACGCCTGTCGATATTGCTCCTTCACATATACTTTTTCAGTATTTCATCCTATAAATTGACCCTACTTGTAAACGTAAAAAAAACATATTTTCAGCCATTTTTGTTGATAACATCTGTTATCACTCTTAAAACGTAACGCGACCGACATTAGCGTGCAGATAAAACCATGCACACAAATATCAATTGAGGGAGGTAATTATGCGAATGCTATTCGTTCAAAAACCTTTCACCTGGCTGCTAGTGGTCACACAGTTACTATTTCTCTAGAGCGTTGATAGCTTTCTTTTTTGTTGAATCGAATATACGTAATATTCTTACATAATTATCATAGACTCTCTTACTTCAAACTGCTTAACACGGTAGTCACGTGATAATAGTACACGTGCATTTCCTATTAACCCTGTAGGTGTTACCCATCGTCGTCTTCTTCTACACGATGATCAGTATTCTGTACTACCTGGGAGTCATGCAGTTCGTCGTACGAGTACTGGGCCGTGCGCTAGCTTTTAGTATGGATACAACTCCTGCCGAATCCCTTAACGCCGCGGGGAACATATTCGTCGGTATGGTGAGTAACCTGTTCCTTGTTTGCCTAAAGTCTTCACGAAGAGCACACAACCTTGGATGGTATGTGAGTGCCAAAGCAGACACAAATTTAGCAAAATGGTAGTAATAACGACAAATATGTTTCAATAACACGAGACAACAGTTCAGCACATGTACGTCTGATTCTTATGTCCTACACATGCATGTGTACACGTGTTCTATAGTTTTCCCAGTATATCAAATGTGTTGAGGTCTGTCCTTTATTGTTGCAGACAGAAGCACCGCTGATGATTGGTCCATTCCTCAAGGACATGACTTCCTCAGAGCTCCACGCCGTGATGACAGGAGGGTTTGCCACTATAGCCGGAAGTGTTCTCGGGGCTTACGTCAGTTTTGGTGTATGTATGATTTAGGGAAGGACATTCTTTCTCTATAGCCGTAAGTTCCAAAGCCTTCTTAATTATGTTATGGGCGCGACCTAAAAATCACAAAACATGAACTCAGGAAATTCGACCAAGAAACGCAAAACTGCGAAAATTTGATTTTGCAAAATTCAAGCGCGGAGAGTATTTGGATTGCTGCATAACTGAACCCTTTTACGAGCCAGTTTTATTCCCATTGATGTGCCTAACCTAATAGCTCAGATGACCATTATAATGCTACGTTTGATTCCACAGGTTCCAGCTAACCATCTAATATCTGCTTCCGTTATGTCAGCTCCGGCCGCTCTGGCCATCTCAAAACTGGCCTATCCCGAGGTTGAGGTGAGCAAGTCTACAACCAAGGACTTTGACAGGATGGAGAAGGCGTAAGTAGTGGCGTATTCCTTTAAGAACGATAGTAAACACAAAACATATATTTTTTGTAATGGCGCGAATGAATACTGTTGTAACCATAATAAACACAGAATACAATGACGTCAAAGTACACTGATGTTTTCATGGCAAACACGGAATATAGTGACGCAAATGAATACTGTTGTAACCATAGTAAATACAGAATACAATGTCGAGGATGAACACAGATGTCTCCATGATTAAAAAAAATATAAGGACGCCAATGAACACGGATATCACCAAGGTAAACACAGATTATAATGACGTCAATGAACACTGATGTTACCATGGTGAAGACAGAATGCAGTGACGTATAGGTATATTAATGATATTGCCCAGTGACAGTTATGAGCATAGCATACATTTATGTTAATTACATATATAATCACAGTAATGAATGCAGAGTATATTAACGTATTTCAACTTTTTGTAATAATACTGAGCACACTCAGTATCACTAGTGTCAATTCTATTGTCATAAATTATTACAATGATAAAAATATGGTTGTCACAGTGATGAACACATATTGTGATATACAATATATATACATTGTGTCAGCATTAAGTATGAGGCTATTAAAATACAGGGGCCTGTTTGTTTATGCAGAACAACCGGTTTGTCCGTTTTTAAATGTAACAATGGCGGGTATAAATCCTGGCGGACCTGCAAACGTCCATGCAGCCCTCGCAAGGCTTTGTCAATGTTCGACTGAAAGCAGCATCTTATTACTTGATTCGACCTTATTGAATTAACGAACAACTGTGGGACCCATGATTTGGCTTCAAAGCATCTAGGAAACAACGTACTGTCATCGTGATAAACACAAAATAGAGTGTTATAAATTACCTTCTTCCCGGATCTAGATTTAAAGATTAAGAGCAAGGGGATTGGGGTCTTCCGCAGGAACAATCTGTTCAAGTTAATATTATTATTTAATTAATATTACATGTAGCAGTAGGTGCGTCTGTGTAAAACGTCAAAAAACATGAAACATGTTGAATGTACAAACAATGAGCTCTTGGTATATACATGTGTTTGTTGAATATAGTTATGATTTTTATTTTGTCTTTTAAGATACAGAGAGAATGAATAATTAACCACACTAAGTGATTTAAGACGTAAAATGAGCCTTACAGATATTTAAGTTTTAATATGAGAGAATATTAAATGGCCATTAAACGTGTGCAACGAATAAATAAGCTTAGCATTATTGTTAACGCTAGAGAGATAACGACTTCATTTTCTCTTATTATCATAATTAATTTATTTTAAAATGTTATTAAGCATGCATATATTCGTTTTACAGAAAGGAGCGGAACATCATAGAGGCAGCTACAGCCGGTGCCACAGCCTCCACCAAACTTGTGGCGGCTATCGCTGTCAACATCATCGCTTTCCTGTCCCTTCTCAACTTTGTCAATGCAACTCTCGTGTGGTGTGGAGAAAGGGCAGGTATAGAAGGCTTTACACTCGAGGTAAGGGTATAAATGCTTGGTAAATGACATGACCGATGACTTTAAGGTTAAAGAGGGTAAGGAGTAGCTCAAAATTTAGATAAAGGGATTTGGCATAGCTTTGGTTTTACAGCGGAAAGGCACAAACAATTCAGCTTGACTGGGGGATAGGGTTAAAGTATAGGGTATGACCGCTATGTTTAGGAAAATGGCTCATCCCCGAGGGGGTGAATGAATATTTTTCTCTCACCCTGTTGTTCCTGTCCAAGTGTAAGACAAAGCATATTGTTTGTAAACAGGAACACGTGGATAGCGTATTAATATTATATGTATGCGTCAGACGGTTCACGCATCATATTTAAAATCAATCCCGTCTTCTTTGATGTCAAATGTAAACACGACAATATTAGCAAGCTAACTTGTGTATGTGTGTGACCTCATAAAAGTAGTTCTTTTTCCGGGTCACATCAGTGACGTCAGGTTCAATGTGGAGAACGTGCAAAGAGCACGTGTAACTTGTCTAAATTTAGATTTGGCATAGCTTTGGAAATGGTTTTACAGCGGAAAGGCACAAACAAGTCAGCTTGACTGGGGGATAGGGTTTGATCGCTCTGTTTAGTAAAATAGCTCCACACTCGGAGTATGCATCTGCTTAGAAATTTCTGAACTCTAAAATGGCCTGTCGGTGGAGATAAATGTGTTTCTGTTTGGTAAAGGATATTACTTCTGAAGTTTGAGATAAATAAAATCTTTCATCCCCTTGGGGGTGAGATAGGGGGATCTCAACACGAGGGGGGAAGATTCTTAATTTACCAAACACGAGGTTTTGCCGAGTGTTTGGCAACTTAAGAATCTTCTCCCCGAGGGTTGAGATCCCTCTATCTCATCCCCGAGAGGGTGAATGATTATTTTTCTCTTACCCTGTTGTTCCTGTCCAAGTGTAAGACAAAGCATATTGTTTGTAAAGAGGAACACGTGGATAGCGTATTAATGTTATATGTATGCGTCAGAAGGTTCACGCATCATATTTAAAATCAATCCCGTCTTCTTTGATGTCAAATGTAAACACGACAATATTAGCAGACGAACTTGTGTATGTGTGTGACCTCATAAAAGTAGTTCTTCTTCCGGGTCACATCAGTGACGTCAGGTTTAAGGTGGAGAACGTGCAAAGAGCACGTGTAACTTGTCTAAACCCTAGGATGAGACAAGGAAATCTCACACCGGTAAAAGTAAGGATACATCTGTCCAGGGTAAGAGAAAATATAGTTTCGTATGGGATTATGTCTCAGGTACGTGTTATATGGTTTAGAATGGGAAAATGAGGAAGAAAAGTGGTAAACGGGTTTGATATTGGAAATGGCAACAGGCTAAGGCTAGTAAGGGTGATGAGGGAAGAATGTTTCAGGCTGGGTTTATTGTTGACAGGAAGGGGCTTCACACTTGAGAAAATAGTTCCGCTTCTATAGACGGCTTACCATTCAAGGAATGGAGACTTTGTCTAGGAAATGAAAATATCAAGTTGAATAATGACTTCACGCTTAATGTCATGAACATTGATTTGTTAATTGGTTTCACGTTAAAGGTTTATAATTTTCTTTTTGGAAATGTCTTCACGCTTGAAGTATGGGGATCTGCCTTTAGGAAATATCTTTATCATAGGTATGATGCTGTCGTTTCTGAAAATGGCTTCAGGTTAGATGTAAAAAAGCGAAGTTCGCACAAACTGATCAATGCTTCATAGAGCAAGGTTTTAGCTATGGAAAACTATTCTGGTTTGAGAAAAGAAGGTTTTGCTTTGAAAAATACTGCTATAGGTTGGGGAGGTAACTGCTTTCCTTGGGTGATGACTGTAGTCTATTTTATGTAAGAAACGCGAACACTCCATTCCTAAACTGCTGTCCTGATGATGGCCTAATTCTCTGTGTTGTAGTTCATCTGCTCCTATGTGTTTTTCCCGGTCGCCTTCTTCATGGGAACGGACGTAGCGGACTGTCGTAAGATAGCGGAACTAATCGGCGTCAAAACTTTCACAAATGAGTTTATCGCCTATCAGAAACTGGCCGTCGTCATCAGTAATGGCGACGCTCTCGCTAACTACACAAGTTTTTTTAACAACACAGCACACTGGTACTGGAACAATGGGAACGTCATCCTCAACAACACTAGACAGGAGCTGGTGGGAGGGGTCATATCGGTAAGTATTTATATAAGGGAACGTCATACTCAACAACACTAGACAGGAGCTGTTGGGAGGGGTCATATCGGTAAGTATTTATATAAGTGAACGTCATCCTCAACAACACTAGACAGGAGCTGTTGGGAGGGGTCATCCCGGTATGTATTTAACATAGGGGAGCGTCATCATCAGCACCACCAGACAGGAGGTAGTGCGAGATATAATCTCGGTAGATATTTGAGAAGTTAACACATATTTCATCCCAGTAGGCATTAGATACACAATATAAGTCACATTATGATAATTAAAAAATGTTTGTTTTCACAATACACACAAACAAAAGAAGAAGAAAATGGTATGTCTACCCTTCTTCATACACTTTTGGGTTTAATCTGATTATGTAGTGTAAAACTAGTTTCTCAGAAATGCTACATCAGAGATTATAATGTCAAGTATGAATTCTCATATTGTTACATAAGTTGAGATATTGATGATTATATGGTTACATTGTAACAATTTATTCCATAGAGCAAGTCTGAAGTCATAGCAACGTACGCTTTGTGTGGTTTTTCCAACTTTGGCTCAATCGGTATACTTTTGGGAGCGATGGGCGCCATAGTGCCAACACGCAAAAGAGACCTTACTCGGATGGTAGTCCGCGCCATGATTTCAGGAACGGTGGCATGTTTCCTCACCGCCTGTATCGCAGGTATGTAGGCCTTTTTCGGATCTGCATCGTTTTCATTTTTGTTATTAGTCATATATCCGTTATTAAACTGAATTTGAATGGATTTGGTTTTGAAACAAAATTACACGTATCGTATATTGATTGGTTGATGGCAGATTTATTGATTGGTTGACGACACATTTACATTGATTAGTTGATGAGATATACGACAATTTACTGATGATAACCTACATTGTGTACGCTAATTGGTTGAAGAATTAACACAAACACGTTGGTGGTTTCTTAGTTTTGTTGCTTGTTTTCAATGGCACATTTTAGGTTGCGATAATAAACAGGAATTTGCTTATCATTCCCAGGAACAATTAATATCTACATCAATAAAATAATATTTTACTCTTTATAATCGATCTTGTAATAATTTTACATGTCCACATTAGTGTAATAAATTAGGGTAAATAGTGAGTTAGGCAACATTGAACGTGTACTGTGTTTATTGAACAAGTAGATGTGTTAGAAGACTTCGACGGTGTTCAAATAGATATGATTCACGTCATTGGAAATTTTTAATTTTAAGTAAGTTGTTAATATATACGTGATATCAAGCTTACCAATATAATATTTTTACTGCTGGAAATGTATTACCACCGGAACTTTACCGAACGATGTGGCGGATTCCAATTCATCACGACCTTTGAGACAAAGTTCGATAAAAGTTGGGAAACGAGCCAATGATTCTTCCACTGTAATGCACACATCGATCGGCGATTCAAACCTATGGCGTTGCGCATGTACAGGAAAATATAACGTCTGATTAATTGGCGCAAGACATATAGGAGCTGGATAAAGAGGACCGAGTCCTGAATTATCATGTGTTATTTAAAGAATCCCACTCGTCTATCTTACGATCAAACGTTTACGGTAAACTATATACATGTAGCTTTCTGCCTTCCCTCAAAAATGTTGGATAAGACGCTTCGGTTTATATTTAAAGCTCCCCTTTAACCCTTTAGTACAACTATAATAAAATCATGCCTATGTAAAACTTGCGTTATAAAGAATGTTAATTACAGTACCGTCTATATCATGATGTAATAGATGTTGACCTAGGTGACAAGATAGTTATCTGACGTGTTACACAACGACTCGGCAGTGTCGGTCTGTATAGAAACCCCGGGGCCCCTTAATTGTGTGTGTGATTTTAAAGATGTAACAGTCTACTACGTAATGTTTATTGTATGTCTACACCTGTTTGTTATATTTCTTTAATATTTCTTAACGCGTCTGTAGTTTCTCAACAATAAGGCTTGAATATTTTTTAAACTAAAGCACTTCGTCATTCTCCAGAGAAATAAATCTGTTTTGAAAGAAGCCACATATATGTATAAGTGATTGTGATTATTATGTTTTGTTTGTGTGGTGTGTTTTTTAAAGAATAACATAAATTGTATCGAAATCTGTTTTTTCAATTACACTAACCACGGTCTCATTTTGTTCATGTCTCTTTCCCACAAATTGGTACAATTTTACATGTTGTTGACATTTCAGTGTATTGCACATTACCCATGAATCTTTAAGTCTCTCAGATGAGGTTAAACCATCAATAATGGTCAACAGTGTCTTTAGTATAAGGAATCTTTATATCTCCTATGGATGTACTGTACATCTGACTTATGTCGATAACATTTTATCTCCTATGGATGTACTGTATATCTGACTTATGTCGAATGTACTGTATATCTGACTTATGTCGATTGTACTGTACATCTGACTTATGTCGATAACTTTTTATCTCCTATGGATGTACTGTACATCTGACTTATGTCGATAACATTGTATCTCCTATGGATGTACTGTATATCTGACTTATGTCGATAACATTTTATCTCCTATGGATGTACTGTATATCTGACTTATGTCGAGAACATTTTATCTCCTATATATGTACTGTATATCTGACTTATGTCAATAACGTTTTATCTCCTATGGATGTACTGTATATCTGACTTATGTCGAGAACATTTTATCTCCTATGGATGTACTGTATATCTGACTTATGTCGATAACATTTTATCTCCTATATGTGTACTGTACATCTGACTTATGTCGATACCATTTTATCTCCTATGGATGTACTGTATATCTGACTTATGTCGATAACATTTTATCTCCTATGGATGTACTGTATATCTGACTAATGTCGATAACATTCTATCTCCTGTGGATGTACTGTACATCTGACTTAGGTCGATAACATTATATCTCCTATGGATGTACTGTATATCTGACTTATGTCGATAACATTTTATCTCCTATGGATGTACTGTTTATCTGACTTATGTCGAATATACTGTATATCTGACTTATGTCGATACCATTTTATCTCCTATGGATGTACTGTATATCTGACTTATATCGATAACATTTTATCTCCTATGGATGTACTGTATATCTGACTTATGTCGATAACATTTTATCTGTTGTAGGACTCCTGTACAAAGATTATTGAACACGTGACCTCAAATTAAGGTGCAAAAAATAGTGCTCGCAATCACCTTGATATTGGTGGACCGTCCGGCATTGCAGCAGCCTACCCAAGCATGGCCAATAAACTCCTCGTTGTTTTTGCCTGGACAAAGGAACCTACCTACTCCGTCGTTGACAAACTTTGCTCTAGGCGTTGACCGTTTATTCACACTTAGAAAATGTTGTAGCGCAGTCATTAACCAATCGGAGTTCAATAGATGAACATTTGTACATATAAAGGTCATTTGACCAGTCCAGCGAGACAATCTCGGCGACACATCGTTATCCCTAATAGCCAGAGTCCGGTCATCTATATATCTGGACAATGGCTCACTGGACTGTATATCTCAATTATCGTTAAATTTGTATACATATATATAGTCCGACCCTTTTCTTCAATAGGCAATTGATCGTGTATCCCCTTGAATTTTCATGATTAATGTTGCTATGGACCAAGGTCACATGATTAATGTTGCTATGGACCAAGGTCACATGATTAATGTTGCTATGTACCAAGGTCAAATGTGCATTATGTGAACAGGTGTTAAGTGTGTTTAAATTTTAAATTATGTTATTTGACAATATTCGTGACATTTCCAGATCCTATTTTTGTTCTTATTTAGAAAACAAGCAGCAATTAATAAACACTAACGGTTTAACAAAAAGATTCACGTATAGTACTTATCGGTTGTTGATTCAGAACAACATATCAATGTAGTAGTTTCCCTCAAATGAAATGGGGTTGTTAAGACACGCATTATATACCGAAACGCAAGAGAATTGCCATTAAGTCAGTAAGCGATCAAGAAAATTAACATGATGTCAAAAATTCCGACACATCCATTTCTATTTTAAGTAATTTTCTACATTGTCGCGCGGAAACTTACTTTCATCAGTAGTTTTTTTTATCCATACACTGTAACTGCGCATGTCCTTTTTATTGGCTACTTATTAAGTTGGAAGAATTCCGCGCTTTTATTTCTTTTTGTTTATAGAAAATCTCTCAAATGAAGTGCCTTGAAGCTATATCCAATGTCGAATGTATGTACATATAAGATGACGAAATTAGCACTGTAGTACTATATTCGTTCGATAAAGATAAGTAAACAATATGAACCAACGCAAATAGTGATCATGTAAATGCATTCGGGGGAACAACATTCGAAGAAGAAGTACTGGACTTTTTCATGTCGTTAACCGTAAAAAGTTAAATTTCACCAGAGGCTTGTCTGATTTAAAAAATAGTATTTTTTTGTTATTATATAAGGCTTCAGCCTTCTCTGATTGTTTGAAATATGTGTACTTTATCAATATAGGATATTAGGGGTTTTATATACAGATGTATACAAATATAGTGCATATTTGGTGTTAGTCCGAATTATTCTGACGTTTCTTCACCCCCCCCCNCCCCGTACGTTAATGTCTGAGAGTATGGTCGGTAGGGATTGGCCCAACCACCAGCCCTTTGGCAGGTAACATTTTAAGTTAATACTATTTATGTCCAATCTGCAAAATGTGATAGAAGTGTATTATTTGCCTTTTACCTGAATAAATATTATTATTATTATTTTTTTTTTTAATGGAAATTAGGGCATGAGCAATTTCATATGACTTGACGAGATCTCGCGTTACCGAAGGTATTTCCCAACGTTATGACGTACGCCGGCGAGATTTTAGTCACGTGGCATTAGAAGGCGGGGCTATCAAAAAACTAGAGTAAAACAGAGTAAGTTTGAAAAAATATGTTTATAGTGATTGTATTGGTTGTTTGAGGCATGTAATTTATGTTCATCTTGTGCATAAAAAATAGATCTTTCGATCCATGTGCGACATGTGTGTGAAAGTGACGATTTGTTTCTAAAATATCAGTTTGAAGTGCGACCCGGGCGCGGGTCGCTTATTTCCCGCATATTATAGAGGGCCGGAGTTCTGACGTTAATCGACGACAGACCGATATAGAAAAAAGTCGATAAAACGTCAGGATAATTCGGACTAATTTGTTGTTAACGTTTTTATATGTACAAAGTTTTATTTACGTTTTTAGTAGCTTTTCACGCTACATTGTAATTGTAAGTCTATATTGAGCAATATTTAAAACAATATTTGCTTAAGTATCTATGCTTGATTAGTATACGTATTTATGCAATATGACTTAATAAATGGTTTACTGTTCCGTAGAGTTGGTACATATGTATGTATTTTTACCTGTGATATATAGTAACATAAGGAAATAGCAACTCAAAGATTTTCGGTACACTGCCGCAATATGTCAACATGCATTGAAAACTCTTTTTCCTCCAACATAACAAAATGATTTTTAGGGAGAGAAAAATACACCTTTAAACCCGACAACAGCCTTCTAACTGCTAAAATGCAACGGATCAAAACCTTTTTTTCGTTGTTACCGATATAGTTACCTGGTCAATGGCAGTACAGTTGCAATTGTAGCCATAACAAGTTAAAGAGGATGTTATTCCATGTACCAAAAACTACAATAGAACTCTCTATTGTTTTGACTTAAGTTTGACATGGAAAACTCACTTACAGAATATAAACCCATTGTGTACGATGCAAACAATGTTATGCGCTTTAAGTTTGTAAATACTGGGTTACCATATCAACAAACTGACAGCATATTCACTACAATAAGGGCTTCAGAATATATGATATAACGTAAACCTACCTCAGTTTAGTGTAAGGGCCTATAACTATTGCAGTCTTTTATACTTAATTTTTAAACTATCAAAGCTCACTTTCTGCGTGTCTTTTCTTTATTTAAAACGCTGTCAAAAACATTCACATGTAGATTGTAACATATTTCACACTGTCGAACATTAACCAGACAATGAAGATATTGTTTGCATGGTATGTACATGTCAATACTTTGTATCACCTATGTAAACAGATCCGCAAGGAACAATGACAATGTACGCTTAGCCTAAATCGCCTCTGGTTGTGCACCACCCAACTATTCAACAATGGGGCTATTGACAATTTCCCCATCGCCGCGCTCCTGATCGCGTATGTTCTTATACAGTGTGGATTCGTTTTCAACACAATGGCATCCAACATACTGTGTATGTGATTCATGTATACGTTTGCAATATCGGATAAATCTTATTGAAGTGTAGTGTTCGTCCATACAAAGAAGATTTCGTGGTGAAATAAACACGTCTATACCGTCTGCTTTCATTGTTCTGTATTGCAAAAACTAAACTCGAACATAAGTAACCAAGAGATCCCATCGGGATATTGGCGCCCACCATCGTACCATCTTCATTAGTTCTGTGTCAGTTTGATCTTTTCTCTTCTTTTCTCTTTTCTGTTTGATCAGTTTGCCTGTTTGCCATCTTAATCAGTCTTTTGATCAACCTCAAAACTTAACATGCACAACCAATCGTTCTCAAAATTTGAAATGTGGAACTAGAAACCATGGGGATCTATCGTGTGAAGTTTGAGAAAGACCCGTACTGTATAATATGAGAAATAGCGCTAACAAACTTTAACTCTCAAATAAAAGATGGCTAGCTGTCGCCCATGTTGCTTTTTTATTAATCCCGAAAACCGATATGCATAATGAAAGACCATGGGGAACCTTCAGGTGAAATTTGAGAAAGATCCCCTCAATGTTTTTTGATAAATATCGCTAACTAACTTTAAATCTCAAATTAACGATGTCTGGCTGTTTGCCATCTTGGTTTTGTAATCAGTCCCAAAAACAGATATGCATAGCTACGGACAATGTGAAACCTTCAGGTGAAATTGTAGAAAGACCTCTCCAGTACTTTATGAGAAATAGCGCTAAAAACTTTAACTTTCAAATAAAAGATTGCTGGCTGTCGGCCATTTTGGTTTTGTGATCAGTCCCGAAAACTGATATGCATAACAAGAGACCATGGGGAACCTTCGAGAGTATGTGAAAAAGTTCCCTCAGGACTTTCTGATAAATAGCGCTAACAAAGTATAACTGCCAAATAAAAGATGGCTGACTGTCGGCCATATTGGTTTTGTGATTTGTCTTAAAAAACGATATGCATAACTAGGGACCATGGGAAACCTTCAGGTGAAATTTGAAATAGATTCCTCTAGTACTTTCTGGGAAATAGCGCTAACAAACTTTACCTCTCAAATTAAAGGTGGCTGGCTGTCGGTCATCTTGGTTTTGTGATCAGTCCCAAAAACCGATATGTTAAAAAACGGACCAGGGAGAACCTTCAGGTGAAAATAGAGAGAAATCTCTCAGGTACTTTCTGAGATATAGCGCTAACAATAATTGTTTAAGGACGGACGAGGGCCCACGGACGCAGGGTGATTTGAATAGCCCTACATCTGATGATGGTGGTCTAATAAATTATTGATGATAGCAAATAAGATAAAACACACACAAAATATCGAAGTAACGTCACGTTGTGGTACTGCAAACTGGGGAAGTCACAACAGTATCAAAAGGAACACTAAGGAGCATGATACTAATCATAGAACTTATCACATAAAGAAAAACACATTTCTGTAATATCTTAGGAGCCACGGCCAAACACAAAAAAGGTGTTTTTAATTAAATAATTGAGCTGGAGATCCCATGTTTACATTTATGACAGCAGATTCATTTTAAAGGATTTAAAACTTTAAATATAGATATGAAAACAAAAATACAAATGTTACCTTCACACATTTTTTAACATTGTTGTCAACCTGGAAAACTAGATAACCAATAACAAAATATAAAAATTAAAAAATTGCACACTATTTTTTTCAGATCAAATTCTGAATATATTGTCAATAATACACCGTATTAGGTGACAAAGAAGATAATCGACAAGCAATGTAGTCAATCTAAATACATACTTACCCTAAAAAATGTGCTGTGTGGTTAGAATAGCAATATAACAAAATCAACGTTTAGATATGATCCACCTAAATATTATTCAATTCGACAATTTTTTTTTTAATTGATGGGCTCCACATTTTTACAACAATAATTGTTAAAGTAGAGAGTATCGAAACCTTTCTATCGTATAGAGACATAAACAAGTTATCTATCCTGTGAAAGTTAAAGATAAAACAAACATTAAAGTATGCAGTCTCGATGGCGTTGGCATATTGCGATCTATTTTCCAGAATTAAATATATTTGGAGCTAGAGCATTTGGAAAATAAGAAAATGTCTGGGGTGGACACCATGACATGTCCACTAACAGCCATGCACTTAGCTCATATTACAATCCGATTGTCTGTTATCCCACATTATCAAAATTAAATATGGGTAAGAGATTTATCTTTGAAAGGTAAATACAGTCTTTTGTATTAGAAGGGGTTTAGACTGTACCTTTTACATAAGAAGGGAAAAGAGCCGCTACCACTAGCCCCCCACCACTGAGTTGCGAGTTCGAAGCCTATGTGGGGCAGTCGCAAGGTACTGGCCGTCGGTCGGTGGTTTGCCTTCGGGTTCTCCGGCTTTCCTCCACCACCAAAACCTGGCACGTCCTTAAAGGACCATAGCTCTTAATAGGACGTAACACACAAAAAAATATTATTAGAAGGGGATAGAATCACAGTCGAAAAAGAGTTCTGAAGTGTACCTCGGTCAGATGACTGCTCCAATGGAATCGTTTACTTTACTCTATTGCGTTTCTATTTATACAAAGAAGACATGTATAAACAGTAGGCCTGTACATGGGCCTAGAATATAATAACAAATAAAGCGTTTGTTGTTGCAGAGAAAATATTGACATATTGGTACATTATGCAGTACAATGCAAGAGCGACATGCTGTATCAATAAGAGGTCAGGATATGTGCTTGTAAACAAATGTGCAAGAGATATTTGTTTGATGGGATAGCGAATTTAAGCGACAAATACAACCTAATTGGAACGTGTCGTCTCTTAAAGCACCGACAGATAGGGCACGCTACCTTAACGTGCCGCCGTCAATATAGCAATTTAAAAGGATAATGTTGATAATTTGTCAGCCTATTTTTGAACGACCAGATGAAAATTGTATGCCATTAACACTTTCATTACCTCTAACTTTGATGTTATTGCCACATGCTTCTGAATCCAATGATAACCTAGTTTCCTTTTTTCCAAATAATAACACGACAACATCGTGTTATAAGCATCGGTGATTTCTTTCATATATAACACGTAACCTGATGGGAAGTTTAAAGAAAACATATCATTTCACACGCCACAGTAATTACAAAGCCTTGAATTCATTCAGAAATTGAATTTCAATTATGCGGTAATAAGATGAGACTCGCAAATTATCTCGAAAAGCGCATCTCGATAAAATGTATATCTTCCAACTGTTCAACAATGTAACGAGTCTTAGAGCTGATATCTGAGTGTGGGAAATATATATAAAAATGTTATTACATTGTAACTGTTGTTGCTTATAA